AATTATATAATTTTCAAGTTTTCAAAATACAAAAAACTAGACTATTTTGCATAATTTCAACTTTCAACTAGACAAATTATACTTAATAAATTTATACGAACTTCATACATGTTTTTGAAGTTTTCAACAAAATAACGATTCTTAAAATCATAATTACATATTTAGATAACAATGTAGCTTAATCTTATTTAACTTTTTATCGAATAAAGTCATTTTTAATTTTTGTACAAATAAGGTCTTTTAAAAACTTGAAATTAAAGTTAAATGAAAAGTTTTTTTAAATATAAAAAAATTAATAAACTAAAGTCAAATAAAAGACCTTTTTTTCAAAAAAAGAAAAAAAATAATAAAGAGCGCTCAGGGAAAACGAAAGAGAGAAAAGAAAAAATCCAAAAATTTAAGAATTGAAAAAAAAAAAGTGTCTAGACACAAAGGCAAGGCGTTTTTGTCTGAGTTTCGAGTTTAGACGAGTTTTTTAAAACATTGCTATATATTATAGTATCTAGTGTACCTAAATTTTCTCCATCTTTAAACACAACAAAGGAAAAAAAAAAATACATATGAAAACATCACCAAAAAGGAGATTTATGCTTCTAGTGCTAGATCAAGGACCAAACGTGAAATTCTCAATGTTCAATCGAATAACTCACGAACCAATTCAAAATCCGGTTCGATTAAAGTTTAAAACCCACTTTTTTGAAAATCGATCAATTGGTTGATTTTTCCACTAACTGAATGGTTCCTCTAGTTGGTGGTTTAATAATTACAAAATTTTCAACTCTTAGCCAATTGGATTAAAAGACCCAAAAAGTTGCTTAAATAATTATTGGCCCATTAATTTATCTCCAGTGATTTTTTATAAGTATTCGATGTGGGATATAAAAAAAAAAAAGCAATCTATTTGGTTGGATTGTAGCGTATTGCACTATTGTATAAATAATTATTCATATTTTATTAAGTTGGTCAATTATTTTCCTATCTTTTACTAATTAAAAAAAATTAAAAACTCTCCAAATATTTCAATTAGCATTATTATACTATATCTTGTTTACCGTTCGAAAATATATTTATTTATCTTTACAATTTAACTATCACGTTCAACTTCAGTTCGACCCCGATTTGACCCTTTGACCCATGACCCTTTCACTTTTCTGGATTAATGCTTTGTTCGATTTTAAAAACATTGGAAACTCTTATATATACAAGAAACCAATCAACTTATACATGTTTCGATGTGTTTAAAAATATTTATAAGTACTGAAATTAACTACCTTTTGCGACTAAAAAAAGAAAGTGAAAGTGCAATAATTGTGGCTTCTACTTTATTTAATTTTTTTAAAAAATAAAAGATCTTTTAAACACTACTAAGCAAGTTATTTATAGTACTTGAAGCTTAGTTCGACATCAATAAATAAATACATAAAGATATTCCACAATATAGAATAATTACATTAAATTCCACTTATTTTCATTCATTGCTAATGTTAAAATTCTGCAACACAGAATTATTACATTTGGCCTCTGCATAGGAGGAAACATCCATTTCAATTCAAAAGTGCAGAAGGTTGTTACTTGTTAATAAGGAATCTTAAAACACCAAAATCTTAGTTTGAGAATACCTTAGATGTTGCCCTTGACATCACTGTAACTATTATTAAAACGATTAAAAGGTTGTCATCTGAAATACTATTCAATATTGTGTACCAAATATGCCATAAAAGTTTCAAGACATATCCTCCATTAGCCAAAAAATCAGTTGCGCCGTTAACCTCCCTATAAATGTGACATTGTTTCAAGACATATCCTCCATTAGCCAAACAAGCAGTTGCGCCGTTAACCTCCCTAGAAATGTGACATAATGAACACGACGCTAAAAAATAAACATTCTTCAGAATCAAGTTCATCGATGTTCTAATAATTACATGTATTAGAATATCTCATACCAATTAGGAGAGCTTTCGATTCAGATTAGTGCCTAAGCCATACAAGCTATAAAAAGCAATTTATAAACTGAAGGCGGCCTACCCCCTCGGATACATCTGATGATGATGAAAGTAAAAAGAAATAGAAACCAACATCAACATTTAAGCGGCCTAAAGAAGGGATTATCCACTATTATGTGTTTCCAGAAAGGACAGAAATATCCAAGGAACTCAGTCTTACCTTTCTGGTTCCGAATGTGCTTTCCTTGGATGAGGCAGAATACAGGCGATTCTAATATTCTTCTGACTCCAAAGGATAAAAGCCAGAACTTAGAAAGAAACATTGTCCTTCCCTAACTTTCATCAGGATATCAAGTCAAAATTTGCACTCACTACAGATATGATTCCTCATTCCATGCTAGATTTTAGCTACCTAAGAAAGAACCTGAAAATGGTAGAGCTCTTCTTCAGCTCTGAAAAAAATTAGACCAACACTTAGACAGGCAGACAAGTCTCAACCGTTTCTCTTTCTCCACCTATGAAAGCATGTTGAACACTAAAACAGGGAAACTCGTCGCAGATTTTTTTCCTGCCACTGTCCGGTCCGTAGTCTCCATATTCATATTCAGTGATAACTGCAACTCGCTAGGTAAGTTTCCTTCTATGACATTCGAGTTCTTAATGGGTATTAGCTGAATGTCACATCATTAAGAAGTCATAGTACTTTCTGTTTTTCCGCTTTATTTCCTTAAGCTTAGAGTTATGAGGCTGTTCATTTCACTTTATTCTACTAGAGAAATTGCAGGTGGATCAAGTTTTCTTCAATCTCTTGCTAAAAGACAACCCAAAACCAATGTTTTTAGCAAGGCATAATCTAAAACTAAAGCATTTTTCTTTGGTTTATGAAAATGCAAAATAATCTCACAACAAACATAAACAATCTTTAAAATTCATAACATAACAACTTAAAATGTGCAAACAAATAAAAGAAAATATAAAAAGTAACAAAAAAGGAAACTATTATTTTAATTGGTTGGGTAGTAGACTATTTCCAAATTGGGTTTGTGAGAAACACAAATTTAATGTTTTAGTGGACAAAAGGCTATTCCTAAAATGGGTTAATCAGAATTTTTATATTTTGAGGGTCCATACATAAAGAAAAGTAAATAAGTCTGGAAAATTAAGGAGCGCACGCGGGCATATGCGGGCTCCGAAAGCATAATCTCGACATTTCATCCGCAATATTGTACGATTCCAATTCGTTTTACCGTTGTCCACAGAATTCACCCTTTCAAATTTTAGACTTTGCGTTTGAACTTCGAGGCATGTACCTCACACAACTGAGATGCCTCCGAAAACTGCCTCACACTCTGCATCTTGAAGATTTGGCCCCAGTTGGGTTTTTTAAACCATACATAAAACAACATTGAAGGTCCTAATTTTTTGCAAGCTTTTCTTTGTCAGGGGCTTACCCTTGACGTAAATGACACAACCAGAGAAGATGAATAATGTGATTTCGATGAACCAACTGGTAAGTTTACAAGCAGTTAACAATAGGGAATTTATACAATTTTTTATTTTGAATTTTTCATATTGTATCTGTATCTTAGACAACCTCAACTAACAATTTAGTCACTGAATATTACATTGTTTTTCACAGAAACAAAGACTAGAAGTTAAGGAAAAAATTCCCTCCATCAAACAATAATTTATGCTGATTCATATGGTTTTCCACACAAATACACTTTCTGAAATGCAATATTAGAAATACAAATTTTTTGCGAATTTTATGCTTTATAATTCTTTTCTCTATATAACATAGAAAACCATACAAGAAAGCCCAGTTTACCATGAAATCGACCTACAACATATATCTCGGGTGGAGGAAACAACAAGATAAGAAGCATCTCAACCTTCTGTATCAATAACCAGGTGTGCAAAAATTACATTTACTCATTTTCTTTTCTTCCTGTATGCTCGTAGCGTGCATTAGTTAGGCGAGACACGAGCCTCGACACAAAGAAATAAAAATTTATAAAACTGTAATTTTTCTCATAATAAACTATAAATTATCTAAAAGAAACGCCTTATAAAACATTTCATTCAAATAAAAGAATAATATGCTACTAGAAACATAAAATGGATCAACAAAATGACAAGTAATAAACTGACAAAATTAGTAATCACATAACAAGCCTGACATATCAGACTAAAAACGTAAACAAACTAAACAAGAGAACAGCTAATGTTTGCTTACTTCAATTTGAAAGAAAAGAAATTCAAAGGGAAGTAACAAAAACACATGGACAACAGCAAAAAAAAAAATATAAAAGGAAGAAAAAAAGAATGAAGTTATCTATCAAGAGTGTACTACCACAGTTGCAACTTCGCTCTGGAGGGGTGGATCACACTCCATTGTAGAAATAGAAGGCTAAGTCAGACACATGGACTTCACTTGTTCTCTTCTACGATCTCTGATTCTTTACATTATCGTTTTTAGGGTAAGTTTGTGTTACAAATGACCCAAAAAAATACCGTAATACCTTCTGAGCTATGAAAATTCAGTCAAAAAGCTGAGAATGATAAAAGAACAGCACAAGTGGATGAGACTCGTAATAAATGCCTCGCACGAGGCATGTGTCAAGGCATAAGCCATAAGCCTTGAGCACTTTTCAAAACTTGAATCCATATACTGACAATACACGAGCATTTTTTAAGCAAGTATATGGAGCACGTAAGATACAAAAGCTAACTATAGTAGACATGGGATCAGAAAGTTTTAGCTCATGTTATTATCTTACAGAATCAAAATGTCAAATTTTTAGCCATATAAATTTAAAGTTGTAACAAAGAGAGAGAGAGAGAGAGAGAGAGAGAGAGAGAGAGAGACGTGAAAACAGAGATGAGTTGGCATTTTCACAATTGCATGTCAAGGAATGAGTTCTAGACTTTCAGCAATGGGACAGCAGTCATCATACTTGTGTTAATGCACCTTAACTATTGAGAAAGAAGCGAAACCAATCATATATTCAATGAAACAGTCTTCTAAAACTCTTCAAATATTTCAGGTGCACAGCATCAAAAGTATGCATCTTCCAACTCTTCATCTTCACTATCCAATAAATAATCCCCCTCCTCCTCCTCATCATCAATAATACAATTCCCAATTGTAAGCTGTGCATTAGCATTATCTCGCTGATCCAATCTCGCTCCTATCCAGTCATAATCTTCTTCATATCCCTCATCAACTTCTGAAAAGGATGAAATCTTCACATCATCTAACTCCATTCTCCTGAAAAGCTCGTCAAAATTCTCCTCTGTTAATCCATCGTTGAACTCACTAACCGAAAAGCTTCCATCCTCCCTCCAAACTCCCTCCATATTTTGCTCTTCAATTCCAAATCATTCTCCTTAATTTCCTCATTCTCCACCCTAATCCACAGAACCCATTTCTCAGCGTGCCTCCCTAATGATCTATCCTGATCTCCCACAACCACCGTCCCCAAATTCGCTTCTCTTGCCTTCCTCAACATCTCCAAGAAATCTGAGTCATCCGACACCAATACAATCCAATCAACACCCCTACTCACGGAATGCATCATTTGCCTCTTCAAAGCCCAATCTGCAGCCTGTGTTTTATCCTCCACCGTCTTGACATACACCTCAGCACGCCTCAGCTCTTGGACCATAACCAGCCTTAGGGGTCAACAAACGGCGTGCTGCCTCATTGTACTGTTGGAACTTTATTAAAACTTAAACTTTATAAACTTGCCAAGATCTTCATGTCAA